TGGCAGAGCAGCTGGAGATGCCTGTTAGAGGCTCTGGGCACAGAGCCAGTGCTGGCTGGGGGCCCTTAAGGGGCCCAGAACACCTCTGGGACGGGGGCGGGGAGGAGCAGGGGGGGATTCCAGGGGTGTTACGGATGAGGGAGGCCGAAAGAGGGAGAGACTCCAGGGAGTCCCATAGGACACCCAGTGGGACTGGGGGGCTCAGAGAGGGAGCTAGAGAGGCATGGAGGGAGGTGGAGGGGTGCTGTACCCAAATGGTCATGGAGGAGCCTGGGGGAGCACCCTGAGAGGCCTGGGGGACATCCAAAGGGAAATTAGGAATACCCCAAAGGGGCATGGAGGCACCCAAAAGGACCTAAGTGAAACACTTAGAGAGGCCAGAGGCCTCTTAAGGATTTGGAGCACAGAGGGCTGGGGTATAGCAGCCCCAGGGGAGAGAAGGAGCACGGCCAAGGAAGAATGGTTCCACCAAATATTTCCCTATACTTATTTTGCTATGACGGGGCAAAACCATGGCCCTGAGCCATATTTTGGGGCAAGATCTCACAACACTGCTCTGGCCTGGGTCACCAGTGAGAGGTTCAAAGCTCCACCCTAAATTTCTGAGTGAAGCAGCACAGCCCAGGCCAGGTCCAGGTCAGGGTGACTCCTGTGCTTCAGCACCAGTTTCATCTTGGATTTGGTCCAAATGATACCAAATGAGGCACAAATCTTTGGTCTGGTGGTAAAAGTCTGGAAAAGGGGGTGGTTAGTGATCAAAAAGCTGAATAACAAGGTTTAAAATCCATTGTCATGTTGGAAAAATTTTAAAAGGCCAACACCTGGGGGACAAAAAAATGATGTTTTGGAGGCTTTTTTGACTGGACACACAAAAATGGAGGAGTTATTCTACTGCACTGTGAAGAGGGAGTTCAGAACCCAACAGAGGAAGCTCTGGAGCCTGTGGGTCAGGGGCAGGACACCCTGAAACCCTGCAGTCCAGGACACACTCAAGCTGCACAGGTTTGGTCCAGGGCTTCCAAAACACCCCTGTCAGGGACCAAAGCCTTCTCTTTAGGATTCATCCTGAAATTTGGTGGGCTCAAATCTTATTTTAAGCCTCTCAAAACCCCTTTTTAGGGGCAAAGCCCTTATTTGTGGTAATGAAGCATCCTTTGAGGGCACAAAACCTAACTTCAGGGTTCAAACCCTCCTTTTCATTTCTAAAGCTCAGTTTTCAGGTATAGAATGATTTATTAGAACCACAATTTAAAGAGTTCGAGGGAAAGGCAGAGGCCTTGGAAGAAAGATTAGAAGTGGCATTATTAAAAGTCCCCAATCCTCCTGTCTGTTTATGGTTACCTAGGGAAAAAGAATGACTTCATGTACCTTTGCAATTGCAGGACATTAAGAAAATATTTTAGGATACAATATCTTTAAAGGAAAAGTTTGTCAATTGTTCAATGACAATATTTGGTCATTCAGGCTTGCAAAAACTCCAAACAGTAAATTTTCTGGAAAGAATATGAAAATTACTGCATTAAAAATTGCTCCAGTCTTACCCATTTCCATTGTGACTAATATCAAAGCTCCCCATTTCCCCTGCAGCCAGAGAAAGGATAAATGAAGTAATTAGGGATTTAGAGCACAGAGGTATTTAGGGCACACTCCCCATGCAATTCTCCTGTCTGTTCCTGGATTTTCTTTAATAGCAAAACTGTTGTATGCATTATGAGGAAAAAAAGACCTGGGAATGGCTTGATAGTCATGAGCAGGCTTTGCACATGCTAATAGAAGAGTTAAAAATATATCAATCACTTGGACCAGTTTACCCCAGTGATCCTATAATAGTTGAATGGGGTTTTGCTGAACTTGAGACTTACTGTAATATGTTCCAGGAAGGCCCTCATGGACCCAAATGACCATTAGGGTTCAGTTCCACAGCATTAAAAGATACTGAAAAAAGATACATGGACTGGGAAAAGGTATTATTATCTCTGACCCAAACAATTAAAGAAGTAGAAAAAATTCAACAGTACCAATCTGTGCAAATCCAAGGCCCATTTAACCTGTTAGCCAGTGTTAAGAAGGGCAGTGCTCCACCAGACGGGATTGCACAAAAGCCAACAGTACACAGATAGTGTGCATATGTCTCAGGAGTCGTGGATTGGATGGATATGACTGAAGGGCTGGGAGAACCTACCGAATTGCAGGTAGCTGAGACCCCAGATATGCTGACTTTGAAACAACCATGTAAACCTACTCCTGTACTTGATGCTCCCCATTTACATCAGACTCTGAAGTTAAAGATGTGTTTTACTGATGCCTCAGCCAAACACAGAGATGGTAAATGGAAGTACAGAGCAGGTGCTCTTACCATTCAGACAGGAATGGAAGTAGTAGAAGAAGGAATGGGAAGTGCACAGGTGGGAGAGTTAAAAGCTGAATTGCTGGCACTAAAAGAGAAAACAAAGACAATATATGTTGATTCTTACACGATCTGGGCTGGTGCCACACAGTGATTGTGTCAATGGGAAGCATTAGTTTGACGAGTAAATGGAAAGGAGGTTTGGCAGAAGGAAGATTGGAAGTGGTTACTGTTACATGCTCAGTCCCAACCAATCCACATAGGATGGGTCAAAACTCATGGCAATGATCAAGTCTTACAGACTTATTGGAGCAAGAAGGTGGATCAGATGACAAAAATTAAGATAAAAATTGATCAGTCAGAAGATCCTCAACATTAGTATTGATTGGGCAACCGGTTACACTGTAAACTGGGGCATACTGGACAGGAGGGTCTTGCAGCACAAAGTAGAGACTTTGTGTCTTGCAGCACAAAGTAGAGACTGGCCCTTGTCACATGGAAAGGGAAGATATTCCCAAACCCTTAATGTTTGTCAAAACCCTTGAAAGACTCACACCAACAATTCATGGAATAACACTCTTTATTAATAAAATTGTGACAGGTTAAGGTTCTAGGATTGCTGGTGATACTTACTGTCTGACTGCAAAAATGTATTCAAAGCAATATACAGACAACCTCTAATCCCTGACAAAACTGACTAGAGAAAATCATTCAGTGCGCACAGAGTGTGGTTCCTTTACCGAACGGGCCCCTCTGGGGGGAGAGACAGGTTCAGCCCGTTGACTGATCCCAGAAGTTACAAATGAGTTTTTGCTAAATTCTCCCCATTTTCAACGCACTTTTATGCTGGTTTTTTACACTTAGGTGGAACTTGAGTGATTTTAGTCATGCGTGTTACTCAGTGAAGGGTGGTTGTACCTTGGGGACAGGTATCTCAGTGCAGTACCTGAGATAACCTTGAAATAGGGACACCCATCAGTCCAAGGAGAGGGATTTTGCCACAGTTGCTGATTCAACAGCAGGACATCTTCCTTTATCTCCCTTGGTTTTCAGTGGCTGTGCAGCTGATCAGCTATAAAGTACCACCAAGTTCCCTCCCCTGCAAAGGTTTCCACAGATCTCCACTCAACTCCACCCTTCATTTAGTCCCCCTTAGACTGTATTGTGTGTGGGAGGTCGGGTATGCTGGCTGCATTCCATCCAGGGAGTAGCAATGTATTTTCCCCTATAATTTCTGTACCATTATGTTTTTACTCCCAGTCATTTTCCCACAGCCCTTAACCAGAAAATGTGTAGGGACATCCACAAACAATGTTACCGCTGACAATTAAGACTTGTACAAAATCAGCCATGTCAGATACAACCAGCTCCAAAGCAGCACTTTTAGGGCCCATACGGTCATTTTACGGTCCAAGCCACACGTTGAGTGTCCAGACCCCCATCTGGATAGTCCAAAGCCCTCTTTTAGGGACCAAAGCATTGTCATTAGAGCCCTAAGCCTTGCTTCTAGCCTTGAAAGTCTCCTTTTTATGGTCCAGGTTGACAATCTGCCTTATCTCCGCTGTGGCAGCACAAGACCCGTGGCCTAAGTACTGCTCCCGCTTTGGTGTCATCTGCCAATTTGCTGAGTGTTGTCTCTGTCCCAGCATCCAGACCATTAGTTAAGAAAGACATTAAATAGGATCAGTTCCTGACCCCTGGGACACACTGCTTTTTCCTGGCTCCAGACTAGGCTTGGTGCTGCTGAGCAGAACCCTTGGGGTCCAACCATCCAGCCCTCTTCAGTCCCTGTTGACTCATCCAACCCATGTTCCTTTGAGTGACTTGAACTCCATCTTTAAAAATAAGAGATTACCAAATGGGCACATGCAAGCACACAGCTTTCAAAATCCCATCATGCACAACATCCCACAGTGGGTATTTCCACCAATTGCCCCAAAACCTAAAAAGAAGGATTATTCATGCAAGACCATGTCATAACCTATGTGGTCAGAGGCATGATGTTCGTTGTGAATTCTTGTCAGGCTGAACAAAGACACTGGGCTACATGCCAGGGAACTCTTTATGTTTTACTGTACAGCCACCATAACTCCAGGAACCAGCCCAATATTTAGATTAAAAAGGTGTTGGCTAACAAGCTCTTAAATTATTGCAATACACTTCTACAAGAGTGGGGTCAAACAAGCCCTTAGATTTGGTACAGTACACTTCAGTAAGTTCTCAGCTCCCACAAGAAGCTCCTCAAAGGTGGTGGCTCACAAGCCACAACATGCTTCCACAAACTCCGCACTCCCAAAACAAACTTCAATATGGAGTACAGGCTAGAATATCATAGCCGTGCTTTGCCCAGGCAAAGCAAGAGAGGAGAGAAATAAAGATAGAAAAGGGAGAGAACAAAGAATATCAGCAGTCCGTAGATCCCACATTGGTCCTGCCGCGTGGGTCTGGAGCTGAGGTTGCGAGACAAAGAAAGCAAAAGAGAAAGAGAGGAAAAAGAGAACCAGGGGAGCTCAATCCACTTCCTTTCCTAGTTAACCTGGTGCAGCCTCCTATGTAAACTAGATTTTTTGTGCTGTTTTTTTCCACATGCACAGCCAGCCCTTCTGGCCCTCCTCCTGCAGGTTAGCTGGGGATGGGGCAGCACAAGTCTCAAGGTGGAGCAGGAAGTTGGCTCAGAACATGCTGCCCCTGCTCTGCAGGACCCTCTTCTCCAGTTACCTTTCCTGTTGTAACAGAATGTTTGAGACAAAACATGCTTAGGCCTGGTCCTCCACAGGCCAATAAGGGGGTTTAATTCTGGCTTTGGCTTTTCTGCCTGTTCATTCCAGTCGAGTGTTAGTTTTGTTCATTTCAGATGCTGTGCTGCTCCCTAATCCAGGCTGACAGTCTGGCCTCATCATACTGTGTTTGACTGATGTGCATCTCTGCGATGCTCAAACCTCCTCACTGACTGATGAGAGTTTGTGATCTCCACAACCTGGCTCCAGATATCATAGCCCCGCCATGAGGATCTCCGTATTGGCAGGGTTTGCACCCAAGCAGCACTGAGTGCAGGTGTCCGCTGGCAGATCCAGTTGGAGAGCCCTGGAGCTGTGTTATCCCTGGGAGCATGGTTACAGCCTAAAGAACTAGTTCTCTTCCTCCTCCTCCCCGTTGAGTTGTCGTAGTCAGTGCTGTTCATGAAGCAGCTGCAGAGATCATTGCCCCACTGTGGGGATCTGCTCCGGGCCCTCTCCCTGGCGCTGTTCCTGACACTGTGTGTCACCTTAATCCTACCAGGCAGAGCTTGTGGTCCTGCAGAACCTGCCTGCTCACTGCTGCCCCCCCGTCTGACTGAGGATGGAATGGACATATGATGGTGCTGGTGAGGAAGCCGCCATTTCTCCCATTTTCAAGTTGGAACACCTGGAGGAAAAAAGAGTGATCTCTGTTTAGGGCATTCCTTGTAGACTCCTCTGGGATTTAGTTATTTTCTTAGAGCAACAGAGGGAAGAATTCACCAAGGTCACCAATGGGAATTTAACTGGGGTCTTCCCACCAGGTCTACCCCTGTCAGAGCAACTCCTTGTCTTTATACCCGCTATGGCCTCCAATTCCCAGAATCCTAGAATCCTAGAATTTGGTTGGAAGAAACATTAAAGATCAACTAGCTCCAACATGGGCAAGGGCACCTTCCACTGCCATGGGCAAGAATACCTTCCACTAGACCAGGTTGCTCCAAGCTCTGTCCAACCTGGCCTTGAACACTTCCAGGAATGGGGTAGCCACAGCTTCTCTGGGCAACCTGTGCCAGACCCTCATCACCCTCCCAGGGAAAAATTTCTTCCTAATATGTAATCTAAATCTTCCCTCTTTGCTTTAAAATCATTACCCCTCATCCCATTACTAGTCTCCTTGATAAAGAGTCTCTACTCATCTTTCCTAGAGGCCCCCTTTAAGTGTTCTTCTCTACATGAACCAACTTCAGAGAGCAGACAAGTGGCAGAATACACAGGGCAGCACCCTAAAGCCTGAAGGTGAAGCAAGGGAAGAGAAGGACTGGTGTGGGATAGTTCAAAATTCACAGGACTGAAGAATGCAAGGAGAAGTTCTCTCCTATTACAGAAGCACCCGGGAGGATGAGAAGATAAACAGCAAAGCCGAGAAAAGGAAACATATTCTGAACACGTGTGACACTGGTTATTACCTGGCGTAGAACAGCAAATATGCTTGCTGCCCCAGAACTGTGTGGGTGTCACAACTATCCACAGACTCATCGTCCATCTTGTACCACAGTCCATTGCTGGCCTGCAAAGAAAGGCATACATCTGGAGAGGAACTCCAGGGTTTTTCCACAACACCACAGGCAGAAAACTGCAGAACCAAGAGTACACCAAAACAAATCCAATCCAGTCTCAAAGGAGACCTTCTCCCCCAAAACCCTGGCTGCCAGTAACACTGCTTGGAAAGTTTGTCTTCCCCAGCACAAATTTCTCCTTGTCACGAGGAATGTCTTTACCTTTGTGTAGCAGAAAAAGTGTCCTTCAAGACAGGTGTCACCACTGTGCACCACAATGGCATATAAGGAGCAGAGGAGGGGTTCTCCAGCTGTGTCAGACATGTATGGCCGAAGATCCAAGTACTCAGGATAGTCCACAAACTACAGAGAGACCAAGAGGACTCAGAAATGATCCTGAGTTACCACACGAAATAGCCTTCAATATGTAATGATTTAGGTGACAGGAAACTGTTCTCAGCCAAAACATCTCTGGCAGAGCAGAGTCCAGGTTGGTCTTCCCACAGGAATTCTCCTCTCCCCAGAAGGGAACACAAAAAACTCAACAAGAGCAGCTTGTGACAGAGTGTACTGCTTTGGGGAATCTTCTGCTCCAGGAAGAGAAAGTTGGACTCCAGCTGTGTACACACCTTGCTGATCTTCTTGCCAGTCCATTGGTCAGCCCTTTCCAGACATAATGTGAGGACTCTGGGTGCTTCATGGATTGTGACCCTCTTGGAGGCAGCAACCTTCTTCTTACACCTTGAAACCAAGCACAGAGCCGAGTGCTGAAATGCACCTGATCTTCCCCCAAGAAGACCAGACAACCTTTCCTGTCTCCCTCATCCTTATGCTATTTTAAGGCTATTCTGAGCCACATTAAAAAAGCTGTGTCTCACTGTTGTGCATTAAACCTCCATGAGAAGATGACTTCTGTTCGATGACATTCAGCCTCCCCTCATGCAGGATCTGGTGTTATTATGTCGTTAGGAATCATCTTACTTGCTACATTTGAAGCATTCTTTCAGATCCAGCTCCTTGGGTGTCACACAGTCCTCCAGAACTGTGGTGAGGGACGAGGCTGCCTGGAAGAGTTAGAAAGGAGCCGCTGAGCTTTGGGAAATGCTCTCACCCAAACACTTCCCAGGAGCTGACAAGAAGACCCAGACAGCTGACTCTGAGGATACCCATTAACCTGCAGGCATTGTCTGGAAGGAGGCAAAGAAAGAGGATGTGACGCTGAATATTTCCCTCATGTTCCAGGGACTCCCAGAGCCATCAAGAGCTCCCTGTCTGTGCCACCACTCAGTTCAGCTACTGATGTCATGCAGGGGCATCGGTAGGGAGAACAATCCAACCCCATCAGCCTGGGAGCCAGAAGGGTGTTGAGAGAGGGCAAAAGGAAGGAGGAGGAGAGTATGTCAAGGGTGCAGAGGGGATAATGCTGCTTGTCCAGCCTAAAGCCAGCACCATGGGGACACCAGTGTCATGGCTTCTGCAGGAACACATGCATTCCCCTTCCCACTCACCACCAAGCTCCCTTGTGCTTGCAGTGTAGGTTTTTAAGACAAATGCTTTGATTCTGGAAAGCTACAGGGGCCCTTGGGACACCTTGAAGCACAATTGTGAACCCTCTTACTCTGATATCCAAAGAGACATCCAGGAAGGCCTTGTAGGAATCAGTAACTGCTTGGCAGCTCAAGCATGTGACTGGAAAGAAAATCAAAATGCTGGGTTAGTTGACTGTGCCAGTGTATGCTTAGGTTACCTACTGTGCCAATCCCAGGACCAGCTATTTGTCACAGGGAGACAGAAGGGCACAGACAATGTGAAAGGAATAGTTGCATAAACATACCTCTGGATCTCATAAAACCCCCAAATATTTGATGGACGATGGTAGTTTCTTGTGAAGAGATGTCCGAGCTGGAAATAAAAATAAATGGCAAGGAAGAGAGTTACCTCCTCCAAGAGTCTAAGTTGAAGGACCTGGACATCAGTTTTCCTTGATTGGAGCACATCAAGGAGTCCAACGGGTTCGGGAACATTGAAAAAGTAATTTGCTTGTGCTTACTCGCTGCTACCACTCAGACAAGCTCTCTGCATGGCATTGAGAGCACAGCGTAAGAACTCGTAGGCGTTTTCCTGCCTGCCATACTCAAATTCTTCTCCTATGACTAAGAAAGAAGAAGTTAGTAGCTCTCCCCTAAAGGGAACAAAAAGAAGAAAACCTGTTGAAGCACCTGAAACAACTTACATTTGAGGTCCCTGAGGACAGCCCCAGGCAGGATGGCACTGGCTGAGGAATGCAGGACCTTCCTAATGTGCACTTCCATGACGCACATCATGCAGAAGCCTTGCTGTTGACCTGAAGAGGTAAAGAGAGGGGGAAAGATGGAGGGAGGGAGAGAGGGAGGGAAGCTTCTCAGGTTAGGAAAACATCCCCAATGATGGGAAACCTACTGGAGATCTTGAAGTTCTAAGAACAGTATCCACTTCTCTACTCCCAAGCTGCCAAAGTCCCGACAAGCTCAGGACATTTTAGTGCTTCAGAGGGATTTAATGCTTCAGCAGAGTTTTCTGTACAATAAGTCAAGGGGGTTTAACTTGCAGGGATAGAGACCCAGGGCTAGAAAGAGGTGTTTTTCTGAGGATGAACGCAAGTTGATAGGACAAGCAGCTTCTTGGGGCTGACAAAGTTCTCCTAAAGTTCTCTGCTGTTCTCCTAAATCTGATTCCAGGTTCTGGCAATCCTTGGGATTTGCCCAAGATATTTGCAAGAAGATATTCCTGAAAGTACTCACATGACTGGCTGTGCTCATGCGAGAGCAGGTAGTTGGCCAGAGGGGGTGTGTATGTCAGGCACTGCAGGATGACATTAATGTAGCAAGTATTGCCCAGGTTGAGGAGTCCCGCTCCAGGCCTCTGTCTTTGGTGCCAGTCCATGCATATCTTCTCTGGGGGAAAGAGGATCCTTTGTGGCAGAGCCATTCCCTTGGCAATGACTGCGAGGAAATGACATTTGAAAAGAGATGAGATAATATTGTTGCTCAAAAGCGTATTCAAATATTGAGTTCTCTACAGGAGCACAGAGGACAACAGCTCTAATTGCCAAGCCAGAAACATTGGGCGAAGCCTAACAGCCTGTTGACATCTACTGGTAGGGAAACAGTTTTGGAAAACAGTCGGTTTCTCTGTGCGCTCTGCCAACAGTCCAACAAACCCACTTTGATTTCTGGGCCTCAGGCTACCTTCCTTTCCCTCTGGAACCTTGAATTTTCAGGTCAAGACTCAGAAGAATTGTTCCCCATCACCCCTCTCAAGAATAGAGAGGAAAGTTTTGGATGATGGAGTTCCAGAAAAACCTCCTTCAGAAATATCAGATCAGCACCAATCCAATCACCTGAAGGGAAAGGAAATGATTGTAGCTCAATAAAATTATTTAGAAACCCCAAACGTGACCCATAAAGCACCTTGAGCTGTCAAAAGCGTTTTGGTGAGGCTTGTAGCTGCTGCCAACGATGAAAAATGCTTGGAAAAAGGCAGGCATACAAGCATCAGTTGACGGAGCTGAGATGTCCCGAAGGCCAACTCAGCCCAACTAGCTTTTACTGGCCCACTCCTCAGGATAATAAGCATTGGGCAGGTGAGGTCACAATCACTGGACTGATGCTGCATCTCTGCACATTTGTGACATGAGGCCACATGGGCACATGTCCCTTTGAGGCCACAGAACCCCATGGCTGTCACAATCCAGGCACCTCTTGCAGCTGGAAGTCACTGGACCTCCCCAGGCACTGCTGGTGAAAGGCTGTTCATCAGCCAGCAAAGCTCCTGCTTCTTTCAGGAGCTGCAGCAGCCAGATGAGTCAAAGGCTGCTGAGGGCTGTAAGTGAGCCTGGTCACAGCTTCGGCTGGCACACTCGGAGTGCTAGAGGTTTCATTTCCACTCCTTCCAGCTTCTTCCAGGCTTTTAAGTCCCCAAAGATCCCTTTTTAGGGGGCAAAGCCTTAGTTTGGGGCAAGGAAGCATTCTTTGAGGGCACAAAACCTAACTTCAAGGTTCAGGCCCTCATTTTCATTTCCAAAGACCCATTTTTGGGGCCCACAGACCCAGCTTGAAGACCCAAAGCCCCTTTCAGAGGGTCCAAAACCCTCTTTTACAGCTCAAAGCTTCCACTGGAGTGCCCAACGTCCTCTCGTCAAGTACCAAAGTTTCATTTCTCAGCACCAGTTTACTTTGCAGAGTTCACAGGGTCATTTGTAGCATTTCACCTGCTAACTTTTTTTCATGCCTAAAGCTTCTGTCTTTTCTTAAACACCTGCAGGGGCAGTGACTCCACCACCTTCCTGGGCAGTTCATTCCATTGCTTAATTACCCTTTATGTGAAGAAATTCCTCCTTATGTCCAACCTAAATCTCCCCTGGCACAGCTTGAGACTATGTCCTCTCTTCCTGTCACTTGTTACCTGGGAGAAGAGGCAAATCCTCACCAGGCTACAGTGTCCTTTCAGGTAGTTGTAGGGAGTGATAAGGTCACCCCTAAGCCTCCTCTTCTCCAGGCTAAACAACCCCAGCTCCATCAGACACTCCTCGTAGGACTTACCTTCTAGACCCTTCCCCAGCTCCATTCTCTTCTTTAGACATGCTCCAGAACTTCTATGTCCTTCTTGCAGTTAGGGACCCAGAACTGGACACAGGGACATAGCACTTGAGGTGCCTCACCGATGCCCAGCATAGGGGGACAATCACTCCCCTGGTCCGCCTGGCCACACCATTGCTGGTACAAGCAAGGTGCCCACCTGGGCACACCTGGGCTCATGTTCAGCCGCTGTCAAACCAGCACCCCAGGCCTTTTCTGCTGGGCCACTTTCCAGCCACTCTTTCCCCAATCTGTAGCACTGCATGGGGTTGTTGTGACCCAAGGGCAGGACCCAGCACTTGGCCTTGAACCTCATGCTGTTGACCTTGACCCATCTATCCAGCCTGTCCAGATCTCTCTACAGACCCTTCCTGCCCTTCAGCAGATCAACAGTCCCAGCCAGCTTGGTGTCATCTGTGAACTTACTGAGGATACACCTGATGCCCTCATTCAGATCATCAGTAAAGATATTAAACAGGACTGGGCCCAACACTGATCCCTGGGGACACCACTAGTGACCGGCCGCCCACTGTATGCAGCAGCATTCCCCACCACTCTCTGGGCCTGACCATCAGCCAGTTCTTAACCCAGCAGAAAGTGCACCTGTCCAAGCCGTGGGCTACAACTTTTCCAGGAGTGTGCCATGGGAGACAGCATCAGAGGTTTTGCTGAAGTCCAGGTAGACACATCCACAGCCTTTCCCTCCTCTGCTAAGTGGAGGTCACCTGGTCATAAAAGGAGATCAGGTTGGTCAGGCAGGACCTGCCTTTCTTAAACCCATGCTGACTGAACCTATTTGCTTGGTTGTCCTGTGTGTGCCGTGTGATCACACTCAAGATGACCTGCTTCATAACCTTGCCGGGCACTGAGGTCAGACTGGGGCAGAAGGACCTCTCAGCAAGTTGGCAGATGACACCAAACCATGATGAGTGGTGCTTACACCAGGGGGTCTTGCTGTCATCCCAAGAGACCTGGGCTTACAGAGACCTCCTGCAGTTCAGCATTGAGATGTTCTCCAAATGACCACCAGAGACCCTCAGAAGACCCCTACTGTGCTGGTTTAAAAGTTAACCAGCAGGGGAAACCAACCCAACTCAAAAGAGAGATTACAAATCAGAATAACAATTTAATAAAATAATACAATAAGTACAACCACACGGACAAGCAACCGGCCCTAACCCACAAAGCCCAAATGTACAACCCAGCACACCAGGGCACAAACAAAACGGTGCTCCCTGGCCCCCCCCCGAGTCCAAAGCAAAGGGAGAGGGGAAAAACCTGCTGGTGGGAGAGCTACTGCAGTCCGACCAAAGTGGTGATTGCAGTTCAGTTGAGGGTGGTGGTCTCAGTCTGGCTGAGAGCGGTGAGCTGCAGTCTGGCTGAGAGCGGTGAGCTGCAGTCCTCCTCTGGATCCCACGAGAGGTCATAAGGTTCTGAAACTCCAGGTTTATATATTCTCCAGCTCAGGCAGGAAAGTTCAGTCCCTCCCTCAGAGAGGGGAATTCCATAAAAGGACGTTCAGTCCTTTCCTCAGAGTGGGGAATTCCATAAAAGGGTGTGAGGGTGCTCAGTCAGGGAATTCCACAAAAGGGCATGAGGACAGGAACATGGAGGGGGGGGGGCACCTTGCAGGCCTCTACTGACAACAGTTTCTGGGAAATGGTATGGAGGGCTATAGAATACACAGTTTTGGGCTACAGCCATCCAGTGATGAATCGGTCCCAACTGTTCTAACTAGGACATTATCCACCCCTTATTGTATGCCATCCATGTCATGCCCAAATTAATCCCCTTAAAAACTATGTCTCCTTAAAACTATATACACTTATATATATATATATATATACACAATGAAACATTACAGACCATTCTCACTCAAAATTAGGTCCCCTTGTGGTACACAACGTGTCTCCCCATCTTTTTGCATTACCCACCAGGTGAAACCAGGTCCTTGAGCAAAAACAATCCCTCAGATGGGTTTGCCTTTGCTTGAGGTGGGACTAATCCAAACTGTCTTCCCTAACATTCCTCTCATATGCACCACGGGGACTTTATCTCCATCTACAGTATGCAAAGGTTCTGATTGGGCAGGGCCAGCTTGATTGATGGAGCCTCGGGTGTTGACCAACCAGGTGGCCTTTGCTAAATGCAGCTCCCAGTGTTTGAGAGTCTCCCTACACAGTGCCTTCAGGGTGGTTTTCAGCAGTCCGTTGCACCGCTCAACTTTTCCAGCCGCTGGTGCATGGTAGGGGATATGATACACCCACTCAATGCCGTGCTCTTTGGCCCGGGTGTCTACGAGACCATTCTTGAAATGGGTCCCATTATCAGGCTCAATTCTCTCCGGGGTACCGTGTCGCCACAGGACTTGTTTTTCAAGGCCCAGGATGGTGTTCCGGGCAGTGGCACGAGGCACGGGGTATGTCTCCAACCATCCAGTACTTCCTTCTACCATGGTCAGTACGCAGCACTTGCCTTGGCGGGTTTTGGGGAGCGTGATGTAGTCAACTTACCAGGCTTCCCATACCTGTACTTCGACCACCGTCCACCATACCATAGAGGCTTCACCCACTTGGCCTGCTTGATGGTAGCACATGTCTCACAGTCATGGATGACCTGTGAGACAATGTCCTTGGTTAAGTCCACCCCTCGGTCACGAGCCCATCTGTATGTTGCATCTCTCCCCTGGTGACCAGAGGCGTCATGGGCCCATCGAGACAGAAATAATTCTCCTTTGTGCTGCCAATCCAGATCTACCTGAGAGACTTTAACCCTGGCAGCTCGGTCCGCCTGCTCATTGTTACGATGCTCCTCATTAGCCCGTTTCTTGCGTACATGAGCATCTACGTGACTGACTTTCACACTCAGCTTCTCTACCCGGCCAGCGATGTCCTGCCACGTCTCTGCTGCCCAGATGGGTTTCCCTTGGCGCTGCCAGTTGGCCTTTTTCCATCGCTCCAACCATCCCCACAGAGCATTGGCCACCATACATGAGTCAGTGTAGAGATAGAGTCTTGGCCACTTCTCTCGTTCAGCTATATCCAAAGTCAACTGAACGGCTTTAAGCTCTGCAAACTGACTTGACCCGCCTTGTCCTTCGGTCGCTTCTGCAACTCACCGTGTGGGACTCCATACGGCTGCCTTCAATTTTCGGTTTGTCCCTACAATGCGACAGGAGCCATCCGTGAAGAGCGCATATCGCCTTTCATCTGCTGGTAGCTTGTCATATGGTGGGGCCTCCTCAACCCGTGTCACCTGCTCCTCTTCTTCTTCAGAGGATAGTCCGAAACTCTCACCTTTGGGCCAATTGGTGATAATTTCCAGAATCCCAGGGCGATTAGGATTCCCTATCCGGGTTCGCTGTGTGATCAGAGCGATCCACTTACTCCATGTGGCATCGGTGGTGTGATGTGTAGAAGGAACTCTTGCCTTGAACATCCAGCCCAGCACTGGTAGTCGGGGTGCCAGGAGGAGCTGCGCTTCGGTGCCGATCACTTCTGAGGCAGCTCGAACTCCTTCATAAGCAGCCAGGATCTCTTTCTCAGTTGGTGTATAGCTGGCTTCAGATCCTTTGTATCCCCGACTCCAGAATCCTAGCGGTCGTCCTCGGGTCTCCCCAGGCACCTTCTGCCAGAGGCTCCAGGAAGGACCATTCTTCCCGGCTGCAGTGTAGAGCATGTTCTTCACGTCCTGTCCTGTCCTTACTGGCCCAAGGGCTACCGCATGGGCAATCTCCTGTTTAATTTGTTCAAAGGCTTGTTGTTGTTCAGGGCCCCACTGGAAATCATTTTTCTTCTGTGTCACAAGGTAGAGAGGGCTTACAATCTGACTGTACTCAGGGATATGCATCCTCCAAAAGCCCACAGCACCTAGGAAAGCCTGTGTTTCCTTCTTGCTGGTTGGTGGGGACATGGCTGCTATTTTGTTAATCACCTCCATTGGAATTAGGTGGCGTCCATCTTGCCACTTCACTCCTAGGAACTGAAT